ATGAGGAGTTGTCGTCAAGATATGCAAAGGACATGCATTTTATGTGCCTAGGGTGAAAGAGTAGGATAATCTTACTTTTTCTTAATTTGATTTTTGCCATGTATATATGATAATGAGTCAAGCAAATTTTGGTATGGAAGCTAGTTAATCAAATATTGTTTTGTAATAAGGAATGTATGACTTGAATGTTAAATTTAATGTTATATTAGAGACTCGTTAGTTAATATAATTAAGTTGAAATAATAGATCATGAGAATGAATGAATGAATGAATTAAAGGCATAATAAAGTTAAGGTTTAAATGGTTTACTTAGACTAATAACTAATGTGTTAGAGATAAAGAGTAAGGTAAAGAATAGCAAGGTTTAGTTCAAAATAAATAAATTTAGAACCAAAGTTCCTTAAGTCCAAAAAATTTTTAGATGGCCAAAATGTTAGTCAAAGGCTTAAATGAATTTAGTAAAGGCTTTGTTGAATCTTGTCAAAAAGTTTAGACCCAAGTTACTCTTAAGGTGGACCTAGTATTTAATACTCATTAGGGACCTCACTAGTAAGTTGCCCACTTCGCTAATGAATCGAAATGTTAAGAGATGAGGCTTCTGGCTTTCATTCATTGCACTTCAAATATAAGTCAATTGCGATAATATCCTCGACCTATCTAGGTTTTAGGTCGGGAGTATTACAATATGTATAGAGAAAATATTAGAGTTTTTGGAAAATACTAATTTTGGTCCTTGATTTCTCTTAATTTTTAATTTTGGTGTAATTTTGTTTGTTAATATTTCATTGGCACTCCTTAATTGCCATTAATCGGGACCTTTTCTTTAAATTTCTCCCATTTGTGCCCATCTCTTTTTTTTTTTTAATTCGGGGTTTGGGGCTTCGAACTTTTCAATTGCACCCTCAATTGGGTTTTCTTTGGTTTTCAAACTTTTTATTTCTTTTAATTAGACCCTCCAAATCAATTTTCAAATAATTCTATTTTTTTTCTTTTTTCTCTCTTTTTCATATTTTCTTTTAACTCACGAATTTAAACAAATTAATTGGGATAAAAATTAGGTTCTAATAGGATCATTAAACACCATAACACCAAAATTTTTGCTCATTGATTTGATATAATCTTCCCATTTAATCACAACATTAGCTCCATCCATCATCACAACGACCTTTTGCCATTCTAAGACCTCTTTTTCTAAATGGATAGCAATTAAGTTCACCTTAGCTTCCTTTGGTGTTCTATCTATCATAAAGAACTTTTCACATCTAAAAATCCACCTTCGAAGTCTTCTCCAAAAAATCTAGGAAACGCAACCTTAGACACTTTAGTGTTGTAATTGTATCCTATATTGTCTCCTACATAACTATTGTTCACTAATCCAACATTCATACCACTAGTTGGATACCCATGCTTAGGAACTTGATAGCCTTTATCATTCAATCATCTAATTCGTCATCCACATTATTGTTCATCCTATCTTAATTAGTAATTACCTTTGTAAGAGTAGCAGTTGACTCCTCCATCTTTTTTTCGTTCGGAATTTGCTTTCATCGTGATTAATAGCTTGTTTTACTCTCCACGAGTGCAAGAATTAGCTCCAATACCAATTGATGCAACTTCAATCCCTAATCATTTAAAGAAAAAGAGAATTGTAAGAAAAACAAGCGAGAAAATTAGGAAATATTATTCAAATTAAACTATAGCCGTAATTATTAAGTTACAAATGCAATCAATAAAGACAAATGCTTGAATAGTAACATACAAGTGAGTGGAAAAGAAGAAGAAATACTAGGGAAAAGAACAAAAGAACTAGAGAGAAACCCAAGGAGGGAAGAGGAAGATAATTTACGCTAATCTCGTAACGAACTCCCACACACACTTCTCACTCTTTTTATTAGCTAACTAACTCAACTAATTATTAACGAGCACTAGCTATCAACTAACTAACTCAACTAATTACTAACGAGTTTTAGCTCCATTCACCAACTAAGTTGCCGGTTTATTGCCACTCAACATTTTATAGCTCACTCCCAAATACTATAAACCATATGCATCATAATTTCATGTGTTTGTCAATTTTTCATGTTTTCCTCTATATTTGTCCATTAGATTTTAATTTAGAGGCAAGTTTGTATTTTCCTTCTCAACTTATATGTTGCTACGCAACCAATAGGTTGGTCAAAATGAATTTTAAATTTGCATATGTTGTGGATTTTTGGTTTCGGACCTAAACAAATAATAAAAAAAATAGTTTCACCTAAAAATGAGAAAACAAAACACCAAAATTTTAGTTTTTTAAAAAATAATCTAATTTCTAGTATATTTCGAATTCAGTTTTTTTTAATTAACTAAAAACTAAATTGAAATATTGAGGATAAATAAATAAAAAAGCTGAATGGTCATCCTTACCCATGCTTCCACACACTTATGATGACCAACTCGAGTACGGTTGGAAGGGCTAGAGCAAAGTAGATAAACCCAATACAAACATTATAATAATGTATTAGATTTCTAAATGAAACGGTTAAGAGAGTTGAAAATTTAATTGGTAAATAATGTATAAAACATGTGGTAAACATATTTATTTATCCTTATATAGTAATCAAAGTCCTCCATCTGTCTTTGAAAAATTTTAAAATATTTAATCTGTTTTTCCAATCAAAATTTTTTTCCATATCCAAATGCCTATACTAAAATGAGAAAATAAAATAAATAAAAACACTTAGCCACATGATCTACTTGTTCTATTTTTGAAGTCTTTATTTATTTTTATTTTTTTGCATTTCAAATCGGGGGCATTTTGTTCAAAAAAATCATTCGACCGAAAAAATTGATTGAAATGATAAATTAAATATTTCAAATATTTTTAAGAATAAATAAGATGTAATTTAAAACTTAGAGATATATAAAATTTTTTAAGTATTATATAAAGGCAGACGAAATTATTTATCCTAAAATATGGTATCGAGATCTAGCTTTTATAGACCTGGACTACCTGGTATCTTAGGCCCATATGTTAGTGGAGTTCGTAGCCATATAATTCTGCAGCTGTTGAGCATCTAAAAATCGTTTCCGTCTGCTTAATACATGACCAACTACTATGAATGTACCCTTTCTAAGTTTTTATTATTCCCAACACCGACAATCATTAATAGATCAATATAATTTTATATAATAAGATTTTTTATTTATTTATCATGGCTTTTTTAATTTATCATGGTATCATTAATCAAGTCAATACCATTAATTATGTCAGTTTTTTAAATTATTTTATCAAATTTTTCTTACAAAACCATGACTCCTCGATCAAATAAAAACTTTTCATATACAAATCGTAAGTTTAATTGCAAAAACGACCTCCAAACTATTAGATTTTGAGAATTGTAAGTCTTTATTATCAATTTGGGTATATTTTGCATCTTTACTAGCAATTTAGATTAATTGGATCCCAAATTATTATTATTTTTAGCAAATGTAATTCTTATCTATTATTTTTAATGGTCAAAGGGTTGATCGTTAACATTTAAGTTTCTTTTTCTAGTTAATTTGATCAAAATATGGTCTACATAAAAATGTATAGTGACTATTTATTAGATTTTAAAATTAATGAAAAAAATTAAAAGAGCGGATAACTAAATAGAAAAAATAAAAGTACAAACACTTGATTAAAAATAAAATAAATTGAAAATACATATAATAAAATAAAAAATAAAAGTACATATATTTAAAAAAATAAAAATACAAACATTTGATTAACAATAAAATAAAATGTTCATGCTAACGTAATGAACAGATTAGCATACATCTCAATTTAATGATTATATCAACATAAATTTAATATAAAAATTAATTTAGATAAGCATGTGTGTCAATTTAATGATTATATCAATATAAATTTAATATAAAAATTGATTAGAAAAAAATTGAAAATCTACATAAACAGCAAGTCGTCTATATTAACTAGAATGCCATTGATATAAATTTTTAATTTTCAATTTCTTTAATTAAGTATTTTTATTAAATTCATATTGATATAACTATTGAATTAATACGTTAGTATACTGACCTATCTATCACATGAGCATCTGACTATTTATCACATGAGTATGAATATTTTATTTTATTATTAATAAGTATTTATATTTATATTTTTTTATTTAAACATGTATACTTTAATTTTTTTTCTAATTGATTATGGATATTTTCATAAACAATTTTAATAAATATTATTAATTTTAAAACTTTAAAAAATAGCCACAGAGACCATATTTAACTAAATTAACTCAAACTCAAACTCTAAATAAATAAACTGGAATTTTAACAATTAAAAAATTAATCGTTAACAGTCAACCTTAGTTATTTGAGATCCAATTAACCAAAACACTAGAAATTACAATTTTTACCATTAAACCACAAATCGTTGAGCTAATTCTAATAATTTAGTTTAAAAATAAATTAAAAAAAATCAACATATTAATTTCAAAAATAAATTAAAAAATTACCATGTGAATAGATTAAATCATTAACTGAAAATAATATTATTACTACTATTATCTTCATATTGCAAATATTAACTCAAAATAATATCACTACTACTATTGTTTTCATAGTCCAAAAATCACCATTGTAATTTTCTGTCTGGATGGATCCATGAAAATTTTATTGGGCCTAAGAGTTGGCTGCTAAAATATCAATCTTCCCTGCCCACAAGCAGGGTACGATTTATTTCATCAACCACCTGAGCCTTCGATGTCATGGGCTTGGCTTTTTACAGCCTCAAACAAAAGGAATTTTGTCATTGCGCTTGCTTAACAAAAGATCAGACAGACCTCAAACTATCATTTACAGACAAGGCTCACACAGTAAATTAAGAACACAAAACATCGTGGGATTAGAGACATCAATCAAAAACTTTAGTAGCAACACAGCCTCAACCTTAAAGCTCTCCATCCTTGTCTTTGCCACTACCAGCAATATTTTCCTTAATATTCTGTGACTTCAGCTTAAAGCTCTCCATCCTTGTCTTTCCCACTACCAGCTATATTTTCCTTGATATGCTGTGACTTCTGCTTAGCAGCCTCCAACGTTTCTGCAGCTTTCTCCTTGGCCCAGCTTAGATTCTCCTCTGTCTCAGCTTCCCTTTCTTTCCCTTCTTCCATTGTGCTCTTCTGCATTTCTTTAGCTGCCTTTTTGGCTTCTTCGGCTTTCGTACCTGATACCTCCTTTGCCTCTTCTGCCTTCTGTGACGCCCTCTCTTTTCCCTCGTCTGCCTTCTCTTTTGCCATACCTGTAGCCTCGTTAGACTTCTCTTCGGCTTCTTCAGCCTTCCGAGCTGTCTTCTCCTTTATCTGCTCTGCTTTCTCCGCTGCTTTTTCCTTTGCTTCGTAAGCCTTCTGTTTTGCTGCTTCAGTGGCGTCGCTTGCCTTCTCTTTAGTTGCTCCTGTTGTGGAAGCAACCGTTTCTTTTGCTGCATTTGCCATTTCGCTAACCTTTTCTTTGGCTGTATTTGCCGTTTCTTTGATCTTCTCTGTTGCGGTATCTTTCATGTCGCCTGCCCTTTCTGCACCGTATTGAGTAGCTTTCGCTCAAATTTGGCATAACATAAAATATATATGAATTGGTAATCTGGAATGCATGAATTAGGATTTGAATGATAAAATCAAATGATGAAAGCAATAAATTAACCAAAACTTGCTCAGAAACGGAGCAATTAATTCGCTAGCTAATTAACTAACCAGAAGCTTTATCATTGGTCTCCTTAGCAGTGTCTGCAAAGCTATCAGAAGCTCTCTTGGCAGCCTTCTTGGCATCATCCTGCTTTCGCCCAATGGTTTCAGAGATTTTCTCCTTGGCCCACTCGGCCCATGACTCGGTGGATTCTTTGGCTTCTTTATTTTTATCTTCTGCCTTTTCCTTTGCTTCTCTTGCTTTATCTTCCGTCTTATCTATTGCTTCTTTCATTTTATCGTTCATCACTTCAAAATCTTGGCTTTCTTCTGTCGTGGTTGATAGATGATCAACATTAGAGCAGCTACAACTGATGGCAAACATTACCACCAGTATCCCCACCAAAATTATCAAAACCGAGAGCCGAGAAGTACCAGTCTTGGAAGACATGATTTTCAAGAAAATTAAAGAAGATACTTCTATACACAACACAGTACAGTACTCTCTTCTGTCTATAGCAATTAGCAAGCAATGATGAAAGTGATGATGAAAACTGAATAATGAGCACGATTGCAAGTGGAAATAGAAGCTGGGTTTGGGGGCTCTTAAATGGAGAAGTCGAGGAGCCTGGGAGATGACAGGTGCCATGCAACGTGGAAACTCAAGAACATGCTAAGGTTTTACGAGATTGACACGTACTGTCCTGCGCATTCAGTGTACCATGTGTCAGCTTCTTAACGAAAGGCTACACTTCTGAAAATTTCTTGACTCTTGTTCTCATCCGAGACGACAGTCCACCGAATGGATTGGATAAATTAAAGGGGAGGGTCATCGATCACTCCGTCTGTGTTATATTTTAAAATACCCCAAAATTTAAACAAAAAAATATATACTTTCTAAATTAAAGAAAAAATTGTTAATTTTGTCTTCTAAATAATATAATTTTTACGAATTATCCATTGCGTTAGGATTTTATTGCAAAATCAACGGAAAAAATTCATAAAAATTATATTTTTTTACCCACTTAAAAAAAGAAAAAGCATGCTTATTAATGGAAAACAAAGAGAAAAATTGAGATGATTTTTAACAATTTTTCTATCAGTTTCTCAATATAACTTCAACAGGATGAACAAACTCAAAAAATCAGACAAAATCATAAATTTTTTTAGCTAAAAAAAAGTATTTGTTTTATGGCTCAGATGCAGAGGATATTTTATAATTAAGCCCTTTAATGTATAGTAGTAGTATATAGTAAAAGGCTGATGCATCTGTATGCCTAGTTGGTCCAATAACGTACGCCTTGGTTCACAATTTTTCTTGCATTAATGGAGAACTTGGGCTCACGATCCACGGTGGTTGCGGCTTACATTACATATATGGGGATGGCTATATAACCCACCATTTTCATCGCGTTTTAGATTACAAGGTTCGTGAACGAACCAATCCATAAACCATAGGAAGAGGTTAAGTTGGCAGCTAGATAGGTAGCCATGGTAGAACCCCAAAAAAGGAGGGTAAAAGAAAAGAAAAGAAAAGAGCCACCGCAGGATGGTTTCGAGGAGATCACCTAGAATCTGGCTAGAAATGAGTCCTTGTTGATTAGTGTTTATACAACAAGATCCAGTTATACTTGATCGATCTGGCGACCTAATAATGAACCAAAGGATCGGAGGAATGAAGACATCATTAGCAATTACGATCAGATTTAAGTGGTGCATGACGAATTAATAGGTAGCACATTAGAATTTTGAAGCCATGGAATGGAAAGAAAGGGAACATTGAAATACAGGGAATTTCATTCTCAAGGCTGAAGGTTGAGCCACTAAATACAACTTGTCTCGACAACATTGACAGTTGACGGGTGGATCGTGCGTGGATGAGAATATTGGAGATCAGCATCCATCAGCAAGAAACAAAAAAGAAAAAGAGAAACCTATTTCTAATACACTTTCTATCTAGTTCCAAGGCTATTTACTTGGGTCTAGTGATCAAAACTAAAACTAAAACTAAAACCAAAATATAATTTCTAAATACATGAAAAATATAAGCTACCAAGCATTGCCCTCTTTCAAACTTTCTTCAGTCATCGGAGTTGTTAGCAATTGAGAAAGAATAAGATCTGTCGACCTTCTTCAGGACTGCCGCTTCTGTTTACAAACCACAAACGCTGTATATTGATCAATAAAAACAGCACCTACACGAAACATGCCACAAAGAAAAAAAAAAGAATTTACAAGCAAGAAACAAGTATTGGATCAAAAAGATTAAAATCAGACTTCAACCAAGTATATCACAGAAGATAAACAGTTTCTTATTAAGATAAACACTTTCAAAGATTAGAAACGCTGAAGATAAATGCAGCCTAGCAATATAAATGTTCTTACCTCACAGATAAGAAGTGCAAGTATGAGAGAGGAGGGGAGCACGGTTGTAGGAACTATGTTATCACCTTCCTTGCCTCATTTTCTCTTTTGTAGCAAGAATGCTAAAGTTTATTTTAGAGCTGTTTACTATAATGTATGCTTTTGTTATGTGAAACAAAAAGCCACCAGACTCCCAAGAGATATTCCTATCTTACTCATAATTCAGACCTGGAAACACATGATTCCAAAACAAATGATGACCAGTACTGACAAGAACATGGTTGATCTATAACTTCAATAGTTTCTGGCATTTTGCTCACGAGGAGAAAACTTTATGAACTGTGTAGCAGCATGAAGCTATTTAAAGTCATTTAAGCATGCATGCTAGTGTAGTTGCAAGAATCCAAACAAGAACCATTCTTCTGTTAATGGATGATTAAAGCAACAAAATAATAAGTGAACGATTAATATCCCTAACACAGAAAATTCATGCATGACAACATAAGACACCTAACCTAGTACTATAACGTCATGGATAACGAGGACTATTATAAACACACACACACACACACACACACACAATAGCAGTCACATCACACACATCCAAGCATAGTATGATCCTTTCACCAATCGGTGTACACAAAAACATGAGCATAGATTGCCAACTAAATTGTTGAAAAAGTTACAAAGCAGGATACTTATGAAGAGACACCTACTTCCAATGACCTACCATCTATATGCTAAGATTCTTTGCATGTCTTCTTATTGTGGCCAAGGCCCTTGCATTTACTACACTGAAGCTGGCGCTTAATAATATCAGCTGATTCAGCCTGCTTCATCTTTGGCCGGCCAGGCGGGCGTTTGGTTGGTGGAGGGGTCACAATAACTCCTGCTTCAGTTGATTCACCCTGCACTGGTCTGTCAACATTTGGAACAGGTTGAATCGACTCAGCATATGTTAAGCGGTAACTCTCTGTTGTGAAGTATCTCAAGCAATAATCATATGGACTTCGGCCAATGCATTCAAAGACCGCAACAGCATGGCAGCAGGGCAAACCAGTTAGTTGCCATCCCTTGCAGCTACAGTCCCAATGATCAATATCAACAACATCTACAGATTCCCCACGGACTTCAAATGTGCTTCCATGGGAGAGTAACACTTGAAGTGAACTTGCTGTTGACATTTCCTTTTCTAATATTTCTTCCTTCGATGGGGTTAACTTAGTCATCCATTGGTTGGATTCCACCCGGCGAGTATAAATTGATTCCATCATCTTGCCTCTTAATGCATCAACCATTTGTGTTATTGGCAACTCATGTGCCTCTGATATCCAACTGTAGAACTGTTGTCCAAAGTTTGATGTCATATGATCATACCTTGCTCCTCCAAAGAATGCATTTGCCCAGTGCTCAGGCTCGCTTTGTACAACCCAATTGTAAGCTTCAGGAGAAATACCCTTTATATTTTCTACAGAACGCTGGAACCCCTCAAGTCTGGGTGCATAAGCAGCGGCATAAAAATCATTAACCATGAATCGTCTTGCCTCATGAGAAAACTGACCTTTTAGGTCCTTATTAAGCTTCTCTGCAAGACGGCGTAAGCAATAGCCATGGTAGCATTTATCAAATATCTCGGCTAATGATTTCTTCAAACCATTTTGAAAATCTGCCACAAATGTGATCTGGCGAGATGTGGAGACTGCAGACTTCAGTTCCAATAGAAACCAATGCCAGTTGTCCTCTGTTTCAGCATCAATTACAGCAAATGCAATAGGAAAAATGCCATCATCTGCATCCGCAGAGGTAGCAGCCAACAGAGTCCCTTGGTATTTTGAGTTTAAAGGAGTGCTATCAAGGAAAATGAGAGGACGGCAACCTTGATCAAAACCAGATATTGACGCATGAAATGACACAAAGAGACGATGGAAGGTTGAGTCATCTTTTGTGGTGAATGTAGCAATACTGCCCGGATTAGTCTCCTTTATCTTCTCACAAAAAAATGGTAACTGATTATATGCCTCTTTATAGGAGCCTTGAAGCTGCTCCCTAGCAATCTCTTTTGCACGCCATGCCTGAGAATAATTAAGTTGAATTCCATACTCTCGTTTGATGTCATCTGCAATATCCTTTGGCTTGTAGTTTGGGGAAACTTTCAATTTCTCCTTTATGATACTTCCCACCCAACCTCTAGTCGCACGATACCCAGCTTTCACAGCAGCTCCTTCACATGTATGATTTGGGTTCATTTTTTTTATGCAAATTAATTGTGTAGTTGACAACCTTGATGCATATATCCGCCATGGACAACCTTGAGTTTTACATTTGACAGAAACACGGTGACTGTCATTTTTCTTATATCTGTAAGCAAACCCATGTGCAATTGAGTACTTGTGCAAAGCTTCACGGAATTCAGTGAAGCTATTAAACCTTTGATCAACACCAGTAATGGTGTTCTCCCACTGTTGTGCAGCTTTACGTTGCTTCTCATCCATGACTCCGACAGGTATACAGGATACAGGATCTCCATTGGACAAATCCATATCAAACCGATCAACGTTAAGGGCCATATCAACAGCAACATCAGCAGGAGCTTCGACAGGAATCACAGCTTCCGACACAGTTGTCCTGCTTGACCTGCAGCATCAGATTATCCTGTAAGATTGCAACCCTGACACATAAAGTATCTTTGTCACTTGCAGGAAATGCTTTAACAATTCATTAGTATCTCACTTCCAGGTTAGATAGCAACGCTTAACAAATGGAAAGCAGAACCCAGCATTCCTTGCACTATGCTGTGCATTGCTGGAATGATGGACTAAGCCAGACAAAAGACTGTCAAGAAATAGAAAAAGTAAAATTCACAAAAAAACTACCTACTAGCAGGCATGTTGGACACATTGCAAGCAGCAGCATCCTTTGACATGATGAAGACATCGACTGTGGTCGAATCCCCTAGAAAATTAACCATACGCTGTAGATCCTTGTCTTTGGATATTGTAATAAGGGTCCTTCTATTCCCAGGAAGAAAGTACTTAATAGACACGGTATCAGCAGTACTGTTGAACAATTCTGCTACTTCAGACTTGAAATCACTCAATTGGGTTTGCTGATCAATGTCAATTGCATAAGCATCACCGCCATTATATGACAATGATCCATCTACATTTGTCACAAACTCCCCTCCTGACTGGCATATAGCTATTATCTTCTTTGCAGCCATGGCCTACCTTACCAAAAAAAAAAAAAAAACCAGAATTTTGTAAACAAAAATGCATATTGATAGTTCATTACAAACAAGTCATGGGATGATAACAACCATCAAAATTGCAGGCTTTGCGACCAAGTCAGAAACTTTTTCACAATGAGAAACATTAAATACATGAACAAATATAAAAATGATTGAAAACCCATCTCCAGGAACACAGCATCATAAACAAAGAACGCAAATACAATTATGAATAGAAAGAATTAAAGCTCAAAGGAACTGAAAAACCCTAATAGAAGATGGTAGTAAGAGTTAAAAAAAGTTGAAAACTTTGAACAACATATTTACCTCGTGAAGCCAGACTCTGATATTAACGTAGTTTTATCGTCCTTTTTAATTAATTAATTAATTTTTTGTACAGCAACTGTTTTATGATTTTGTATTTCTTTCTCTTCTCTGACCGCACCAGAAAGCAGAGACGCCCAGTTGCATCGGAAGTTCGGAAACCCAGAGGGGAAGTGATGCATACAAAACGGGGCGTTTTGATCTTTCAAGTTGTTATATGTTACTTGCGTAAGCAGCTTAGTTACTATACACCCTCCACATGAAAGCCGTGATTTCTCTGACTCTCTCTGCCCTTTGACTAGGGATGGCAATGGGGCGGGGATCACCATCTCCATCCCCGCCTCGTGCCTTAAACGGGGCAGAATTTTTCATCCCATCCTCACCTCAAATGGAGACGGGGATCCCTGCGGGGCAAACAGGATATAAATGGGATATTTTTTTTTTTATCTCTTTTGTTTCATTCTACTACTAAATTTCAAACTTTAGAAAAAAAAAGTTTATATAGAAAATAAACCCTCAAAGTCACTAATAATAAATTTTATATGGAGTATAATTATAATTTTAATAAAAAAAAAGGGCAAAAATAGGGCAAACGGGGTGGAGCGAGCAAATCCCATCCCCGCCCCCTCCTTGCTTGCGAGACGCCCCGCCCGTTCCCGAGTCAATGTGGGGAATCCTCGCGTTGACCGGGAAACTCGAGTTGAGGTCGGGCGGAGCAAATTGCCATCCCTACTTTTGACCTTTATGGTAGTTTGGTGGGTCATTGTTGACGATAGACAATCATTTCTAAACTAACCGAGTTAAGTTAGAAGTTAAAACTTAAAATTAGAAATATTATCATATACTATCTTGTTTAAGAAAAAGTATCACCCTTTGAGCATTTATTTCTTTTATGTTCAAAATCCAGAGTTTGAGATTCTTTCCTTTTTGGTGTAGAAGGGAAAGATGATGAGCCTTAATATAAATAGGAGTTGGCATTTGATTTTTCATAATTGAAGTGATTAATATTTTTGAATAGATAAAAAAAGTGAACTTATTTGATTTGTCTTAAAGTTTGGGTGAGAGTTTTTGAAAATGTTCAAACAATTAATCGACAAGTTGAAATACAAAAATTTAATATTATAACTTATAAAAAAAATGTTTCATCAATTTAGAAAAATAAATCTAAATATGAACAACGCGATAATAAGAGCAAACAATACTAAGCATGAACAAATTAAAATGACTTGTGGGTGAGCAATAAAAAAAATTAAAAATAAATATTCTCATTTTTTATATATATAATACTCAAAGATTCTCGTTTGTCTTTAAATTTTTAATTGCATCACATTTGTTTTTGAAAATTTTTGAAATGTTCAATATGTTTTTTTAATCAAATTTCTAGATTATAATTTTTTTTATCGAAATATTCTTTACCAAAATGCAAAAAAAAAAAAAAAAAAAAAAAAGGAAAACACTTAAAGTCATATGACTACATGTTCTATTTTTGAAGTTTTTAATTTTATTTATTTATTTTGCATTTGAATCAGAGGTATTTTTGTCAAAAATATTTTATTTGACTAGAAAAATTGATTGAAAATACAAATTGAATATTTCAAATATTTTTTGAAACAAATAGGATTCATTTAGAAATGTAGAAATATATGAAGATTTTAAATATTATACAAAACAAGTGAATATATTTACTTACAAAAAATAGAATTTTAGAAGTTGTGAGATTGAGTTTTTTTAAAAAAGAGGTTTTAAATAGTAAAAATGCCAAAAATTAAAATTTATTTATAATCATACGAAATTAATATTTATACAAAAATATATCTTTTCATTATTAATAACACATCGCGTCATTCATTTTAAACTGCTTGCTTCATATCACATTCATTTAATTTTAAAAGAAACTTTAGAGTTGTTCCTATTTCGATCACCTCTTCATTGATAAACTTCTTCATTATGTTTTTTTTTTTTATAGAAAATGTATCACTATATTTAATCTTTTAATATAATCCTCATAAGATTTCTCGAATCCCAAGCGGCCACAACAAATAGTACCATAAACTAAAACCGCTTTTACCATCTTGTCACGCATTTATATTTCGATAGTCAGGTCAAATGTACGTTTTGGTCCTTAAATTTTTTAAAACATTCTGTTAGTCCCTAACACTACTCATAAGCGTTTTTTTTCCTATTTAGTCCCTAACACTATTTATAAGCGGTATTTTTTGTGCTTTGTAAACCAAACTGCGTTCTTCGCAAACAATTATAGAAGCAACCACCAACTGCTCAAAATTTTTGTTTCGTCATTAAAATAATAATAATAATAAAAACCTCTGCCAACATCCTGCATCATACATTGTGCCAACATTGAATCAAGGATTTTGTCAGCATCCTCTGACCTCCAGCATTTGAAAGATGACACTAGCAGAGCTGAGTTTCTATCCGTGCCGTTGTTGAAATAACTTTCAATGGCGCTTTCTCCCACCACCTTTTTTCTTTCCCTTGTTCCTTTTGCCTCCGTGCTGCTGCTTCTTCCCTTTACTGGTCATATGACTGCTAGAACCATCATCTCTAGATGGTGTCCGATTCAGCAAATGCTTCACATCAAGTATACCATTTTTAAAATGACCTTCGGTTGACCTCAGCATCCTGTCCTCAGGTTTGCGCTTCTCCACTGACCTTCTAGCACCACTACCACCTCCAAATCTTCCAAGAACCATATTCTAAAATGTAGAATAGTTCGAGTCAGTTCAACGAGTTTTGTACTACCAGATCAATCATAGATTTGAAAGGTAACGGAAGAATCAATCACCTCTTGTTCCTTCATTTCAAGCATTTTCTGTTCTCTTTCCTTTTGTTTCTTCATTTGCACACGGGCTACACTTAGAGGGAGTCTCTGCTTCTTAGGAGGCTGTGCTTAGGACAAGCACAGAAGGAACATATTCATTAACTGTTGTATGGTAGAAGCATAGACATCATAATTGAAAATATCTACTATGTTAACTGCAAAGCGATGCAATTAGTGCTAACAGAGTTAATACCTTTCCACCAAGAGAGACTACTTTTCTATTCTCTAATTCTTTCCTCTCTTTCCATGTCATATGTGAGGCACCTGGGAGGCAAAGCATTTAAGTGACAAAAACACAACAAAGCTTCTTAATTGAAAATAACAATTCAAACAATCACAATAAGATGCAGATGAAGAAACAAAAAGATAGAAGCATCCAATGAATGACACAATTTAAATGGATAAATATTTACTACTTCCAAGTTTGAATTAACAGTGGAACATGTCCACAATCAAAGCTAGATTCAACAGCTTTTACCAAATGACGCAACCAAATTTCCCCTAGCCTATAACAATAATTAATAAAAAAAAAAAATCACAACGCACTAAGTCCATTTGATATGCTTAACTGAAGACCCATACAATTACAAGTAATGGTGGCAAAAGAATATAGTGCATTGTTTAAGAAAATATCGCATTGCTGTGGAATTTTTAAAACTAGAATTCTTTGCCCATCCTTCGGCGCTGAACAGCAGAATTAGCTAGTTCAACAACTTAACAGGCAATTGAACATTTTCTTCACCTCTTGCCAAGCATATGAATAACAGATCAATAACCTCAACCATCAAATTATACAACCGAACTGAATGGAAAGATGCTCTTCCTGGCTCTATAAAACAGAAAGAAGCTCCACCTAATTAGCTTCCTCAACCAATCTGGCTTTTATTTGGAGCAAAAAAAATCTCAATCCCAAAACCAAATATACTTGGAACCTACAGCTAGATGCTTAAAAAATGACACAACACCGATGTTGCCAGAAAAAAACACAAGAAAACTTTGAATTTAAAAACAACACGCAGGGGAAGGGATTCCACTATGAGAGGGGTAAGAGGAACAAAATTCAGAACGACAGATGCAGGCTTTCATGCATAGGAAGCTCAAAACTCTCACAGTGAATGTTTCTTCATTGCCAAACGCAGATACAAAGGTATAATAGGGTAGCCTATGACCCCATACAGCTCTACCTTTCCAACCTTCCTTTCCCACAAATTTTATTTTGTATTCCCTAAACATCCTTGCCATTTTAATTATATTCTCCAAACCTTGAAATCCCATTTAACCAATAGATGTATTGTAATAGCATTGTGAAACATCATAAGGCAGTAGTTTACACGCACAAAAGCAACCTTGAAAAAAAAAAAAAAAAAAAAAACATCGTACTCTTCCACAAAAGCAAACTCTCGAATTTCCTCTCCTCTCCTCTCGATGCCAGCTAGAAACTCCTAACCTCAAACCCCCAATTCCTCGATAACCCTCACCCTACAATCTATCATTGCACAAATTCTTCATAGATACAAGCATAATTATAATGCAGGCAGTAGTAAAAGAACAATAATTAACAAGTGATTAATTAGTGAAAATAGAGAAAGGAAAAAGGGTAAATACTGAAGAACTCAATGTCTTTCATAATCTTCTTGATGTCCCATTCTTGGTCCTTGCCATCCGTATCACCACTTCCACTTGTTTGATTTTTCTTCTTCTTCATATTTCTCCCTTCTCTTACTTGGTTTAACTGCAAAGAGGAAGATAATAGGTCAGAAACCCTACCAAACTACAGTTGCATAACTACATACAAACACATATACCTGCTGCGAATTTAGTTTCACCATAAATTTTTGGGTTTTTAAAGCTAGTTTTGAAAATTGATATGATGTCAAAGAGGGAGAGAGTTATTATTTTTTGGGTTTAGGGTTAGATAAGAACAGCCGCTGGTTTGTTAATGGGTTAACGATAAAATACCATCGATGCCTCACAAGCAATTTCTTAATTTCTTAATCAGGCCCCTATATGAATTTTAATGTTAATTAGGTTTTTATACTTTAATTTATTTAATGTAAGCTTTTTATTAATGATTTGGTTAACCACATTAAATTAATTATATAATTAGACAATGCGGATTTTTTTTTACTTTTAATTTTTTTATTTATTATTTAAAGCATTTATAAAAAACAATTTTGAACTAAAAAAATGTAGAGCTGATTGAGTAAACTTTTTTGAAAATTTTAGCCCTTTTTGTTTTCTAAAAAAAAGACTAATTAAATTTTTATAGGAAAAAAAAATGAATACGGTAGGCAAATGACACATGTTGTTGATTATACGATTAACTTCACATGGTTAATTAAATTACAGAAAACTTAAAATAAATAAATGTATTCAGTATAGAAACTCAATTAATATAGGGATCTGATTAAGCAATTATTTGCAATGTAGGGACGATACGTAATACTAAAATAATTGCTACCAGTGAGGAGATATCGAGGAAGACAAGACACGACACAGTTGCGGAACACAGGCTCGAGTTTGATAGGCAGGAAGCAGACTCCTCAAAGGAAAACTGAAATTCAGCTCTCCAAAACCAAAAGATGACGAGTTATGGTGGGATAGGAGCAGCAGCAGCCCGTCCTTCTCCTCTATCTGCCCTTAATACTTCTTCATCCAATAACACCTCTGTAAGAACCCATCCTCTCTCTCTCTCTCTCTCTGCTTTATTTATTGTTGCTATGGAGATGAAGATGGTTTTTTGTTTAAGAACAGATTATGGGCAGTGGTGGCGCAGAGGATTCTAATAACTATACGGTACTGAATCCAAGTGTTGATGGGTTTAAGTGGCGTTTGCTTTTATCTTATGATGGCACCCACTATAAAGGTTCCTTTTCCTTTCCCCTGCCTTCATATATTACCTTCCTCGTTATCTCTCCTTTCCTCTGCCCCCTTTTTTTAATTTCTAATTTCTTCATAGATAGCAGTAATATCCATCATTGCCTTCTTCTTACTGTTTTGTGTGTGTTAAAAATGTCCTATGACATCTTTTTTCTGTTCGTCAAGCTTCAAGCATGCCAAATGTTTGTCATTTTCATGTCAATGCTGCAACATCTACAATCCTTGATGTTTTACTAATCTTGAACACGGTGGAGTTAAAAATTTCAGGTTGGCAATTTCAGCAAACCCCACCAACCATACAGTGCATTCTAGAAAACGCTTTAACTCAAGCTACAAAGCTAGAAAGGAAGGATCTTCATTTAGTTGGTGCCAGTAGGACAGATGCAGGAGTACATGCCTGGGGTCAGGTCTGACTTTCTTACTCTTTTCAGCACCCAACTAGCATCCATTGATTAAGAAAACAAGCTTAAACTCAGTTAAGATTCCAGGTGGCACACTTTGTTACACCTTTCAATTATGACTGCTTGGATAGCATTCATGCAGCTCTCAATGGCCTTCTTCCTCCTGATATTCGAGTTAGAGAAATTAGTGCTGCAGTTCGGGAGTTCCATGCTCGATTTTCTGCCAAGAGAAAGACTTATCACTACAAGATATATAATGATGCTATCATGGATCCATTTCAGCGTCTATACGCATACCATATTACTCATAAACTCAATGCTGCTGTAATGAGAGAAGCGGCAAATCATTTTATTGGAACCCACGATTTCTCTGCTTTTGTCAATTCATCACGCAATGATGGGATGCCAAATCCAGTAAAGACTATTTTTCGATTTGATATCATTGAAATGGTAATTTCAATCGCCATAGTAATCTTGCTTCCAAAGATGGGTCGGTTTCTTTGATTTTGTCCTTTTGATTGTCCAACCCGAATTGTACATGCTCTTCTTGAATCTACTTTTGAGTTATTTGATCATAATCGTGAATACTGGTTTTTGAAATGGACTTTTCACTTTTAATATTCAGGGAGCTCTGCTTCAGCTAGAAGTCGAAGGCTCGGGTTTCATGTATAGACAAGTGCGGAACATGGTAAATCACATTTGTCAGAAATCTGGATCATGAAGTTAGCTTTTATATGTTTGAATGTAGTCATCAGTACATTGCCATATGAATGCTGTTCAGTTTTTGGAGGTCAGTATGAGGTAGTTCTTGGAGATGGCTTCTGACCATTGACAAGCCATTTTTTGCTGATCGCTTTTATAGGTTGCTTTACTGCTCCAAATTGGAAAGGAAGCAATTCCTCCCGATTGTGTTCCAAAGATTTTAGCTACTCGCAATCGCAGGGAGCTCGCTAAATACACCTTGGCTGCCCCACCTCACGGCCTCTGTCTTGTAGTTGTTAAGTATAATGAAGAGCACCTAAGGCTTCCTTTAGGTTGCCCTACAGCCAGTCTTGGTAGGCATCACAGCATAAGCAAGTGTAAGGTTCCATTTTATTAAAAGATTTCTTTATTACCAAACACCCGCAAGGGGGAGAGAAGGAAATGAAAAATGTCCAATTCTAAAAGATTAAATGCAATTCTGCTTTGTTTTTTGAAAAATTAGTGAAGATTTCAGTGCTTGTTTCTGAAAGTGCAAATCAGAAATCATGTAAGCTAAGAAAGACATCCATATTTTACTAGGTTGTGAAGCATGATGCACCATGCACACCTTGGGAGTTGGAACCATTGTTTATCTCTGGTGCTGAAAAAGGCCCATTATATACTTCCCAATTTAAATCTCAAACAATATTTCACAAACTTGTACGTATTCTGATAAAGAAACTTCTGCAGTAGACCAAAAGAGACGCCTGATTAAAAGGTTTCATAAATGCACCTTTGCTTCTGTGTAAAACTGGTCACATGCCCTTGAGGATAGCAGGCTAATGCAGACCATCGTTTAATTGAAAATGTGACGCATTCACACTTGGCGCACGTGTTTTATCTGTATAAAAACAACTTCGTTTCATGTTTGGCCAGAGAAGTAAGGAAGTAATGAACTTCCATGAAATCCAATTAAGTCCTAGAGACCATTGACATTACATACTGACCTTCCATTGAAGCCTTAATCGTAGAAGGTTCCGAGACAAAAACAGTATCTTAATTCATTCTGGAAAGTATAATCCTATAGGAAACAAGAATTTACAACGACTTTAAGTGAGTTGGATTACTCAGCAATCAACCTGAATCATAAAAGTTTTATCTCCATAACTTTGATAAATGGTGGCAAAAGTTTACAATGGGAAGTGCCTTCTTAAATGAACCAAGTAACACGATGGGGAAAACTGAATTTCCGGGCATTCAGCAGAAGATACTGGAAGTAATGCATCCTTAGGTGGTAAGGAGACAGTTAGGTTTCAAAAAAGCCAAGTTCTAGCATGAATTCCCGATGCTTTGGTGAATACCAGGCAACAGCCTTTGCTGAACCAAGGACATGCAATGCATACTCAACGGCAAACACTGGATCATCCACACAGATACGCCAATCTTTGCTCTTCCAATCAATCACAACTCCAGAATCAACTCTAAAACTAAAAGGTCCTGCTATCTGCAACCAAAAGAAGTCCCTATTATAAACAAGAAGATATTTTCAAGCTTTCCTCTTGCTAATATTTGAGAAGCAGTTGACCACCAGTATGCATGTAAATGTTTGACATTAACTGACTGAAGTACATGCTCAATGCTTCTACAGGAAACAAACAACTAAAAGAAGTCCCTATTATAAACAGTGACCTTAAAGCAAGTCTTGACATACCAAAGAATAGACTTGATTTAACAACTTGTCTTTTGTTGCCTTTGTGTCATCTGCTAATAATACACCAACGTATGTTGAAAAGACAAACATTCTAGACGTTAAAACCTACCTGCTGCTGAAGAGAAATGGTTGCCTTGGGGCAAATTGCCTGAACTGTTTCCATGTTTGGCTGTTGAGAATTAAAAAGTCTTGTGCTAATCTGGTGGCACCTAAAAGAAATTTGGAACCAGAAGGGAAATCCAGGCGAGCATGAAATCGAGTAAGATCGAGAAAGAGTCTTTGGAAGTTTCCATGTTGAGCAGTGAATGAAACAGATGAAAATACATCAGCTAACAAGGTGGATTTTACAGCAGGAGCACGAAGACAGAGGCCTTCAAACTGCTGAGATTCATCTACTACTCGTGGCTGAACTGAATTATCCCCGAGACAGGCCGTCACAGCAGCACCTGGATACATTCAAATATCAGTAAGAGTTACAGAAAAATGATGTGAAACCAATAAAACTTGGATAATCTTTCAGTCTCTTGAAATGACAGATAGGAAAAGAAACCATGAAGCAATAACCGCTAAAAGCCTACAGCTTTCATAGGACGTCTCCAAGCAAAGATAAGGCTTTAGCTTCATTACTAGATGTGGACAGAAATCATATTTACATCTGCAGTAAACCTCTTACTTCCATAATGATGTAAATGTAGGTCATATTCAAGATGTATATTTAAGGCAACAATTGTTTGAATAGAGAAAATGAGAAAGTAAAATTATAGGAATGGCCCCATTGCCACTCCTCATCCAGACCGGATCATCATTAGCATACAGAAAATAGAAAGTTAAAAAAAAAAGTTGCAATTTACCAATGATCCCTGAAGCTGAAATGTGAGGATTGGAGAGAAAAATATCAAAGGGTTGCACCATCTTCAACTTCTGAGCATTACTTCTCCAAATCTCAATATTTTGCTTGAAGGAAAAAGCACTTTTCAAAGAGATACCAGGAAGTAGTGTTGCAGGAACCTCAACGGTCTGATCACCTCCAAGCTGCATGGCCTGACCGGCATTATGGTGCATACAGAAATGATAACTAGCACCAGAGTCAGAAGCAAGAGAAGCCAGATCGATGGCCATGGAGAAAGGTACATCCCAATAATTACCGGCCCTGTCAATGAAAAGTCCAGGCCAAACTGCTTCCACATTTAAATTGTGATTTGGGAACTGCCAAAAAAAAAAAAAAACAAAAAAACAACCTCAAAATTGCAGGAATAAAAAAGTAGAATGACCAAAAAAAAAAAAAAAAAAAAAACAATCAAACACATGCCTTATGATGGAAGACTGCTTTCTTACGAGGCGTCTTGTTGTTATCATCACCATAAAAGTCCAAGCTTAAGAGAAGGGTATCCTCAGGAGTTAACAAGAGCTCTGAACAAAATCCAAGTGCATATAAGGACTTATCCTCAAGTTGTTTCCTAATGTTCTCCATGCGTGAAGATTGCAAAACTCCATTCTTTTTAAGAGAAGACACAAACTTCTGCAAATTGAATTGAGCTAGTAATGTAGCAAACCTGCATATTTGTTTTCTTTTCAACTTTCTGACCTTAAAAACACCACAAGTCAACATATCTACTTCAATCATGAACGAAAACAAAAAAAGCTTGAATCTTTTCTCAAATGGGTTGTGAAATTATACCAGTTTTGAGTGAAAGGAAGAGTGAGGACACGTTGGAGAGAGAAGCCATGAGAGGAAGCAGAATAAGAAGGGATGAAAGGAGCAAGCATAAAACGCTGAAAGAAATCAATCTGCTTGGGTCTTGATAGTCTTGTACCTCTTGAAACACCCAATGGAAATGGGTCTCCAGGCACTGCCCGTCCTTCTCCTTCAAGGGTTCTGGGTGTGGACCTGTCCAGCTCCCAAAACCCTCCATCCATTGCCCACCTTAGCTTCTTCATTGCCTTACTCTTATATTTTATTTTCTGAGCTTGTTACCTTCTACTGTTGTGGGTTTCTGCTGTCTCTGACTTCAACTCTTTTTATATAATTTTGTGGTTTTTTCCATGTTTAAAGACCACAGTGATGGTTTGAACTACATGTCTTTCTATGGACGACATGTCTTTTTTTTTAATACCAATGGCTGAAACCAATTTTTATGATTTTGACCACCATCCACTGCATCTGCATTGATGGTAAGATTATATATATTGCTTCTTTTTTAGCTCTCAGGCATATTGTAAAAGATGAATTGAATTTCTCAGAAGTAGATTTAGTTTCGATATATTTAAAGTTAATAAATTGAATTTCTTAAAGAGTAGATTTAGTTTTAGATTTATTTTTCATACATGAAAGACCAATGAATTTAGTTTTTTTTAAAGTAGATTTAGTTCCTATGCTTGAAAGATGAAAGATGAAAGATGATGATTGATCAACGGTCAAAAGATGCCACTACGTGGGTTGAAAACAAAATTAGCAAACACCAACCAACTATAATTGTGACTATTTCCTGAACTTAGTTGGAGAACCTTTTTTTCCGTTTTTTTTTCCTATTGTAGATTTTTTCTTGACAGATGTTTACTGCAATTTGCAAGTTTTCACATTTCATTAGCTGGCTTGCCTACAATATTTAATCTTTTATCGACCCATCATGAGAAAGTTTTCCAACTTGCTACGGTGCATATGCACCTGGCTCGCAGCCTCTTGCATAATCACCAACTCTGGAGGATAAAAACATAATTATTTTCGAACAGCACATTACAGGAGAATAATTTTTTTAAAAAAAGAAAAAGTAATTTGGTAGAATGAGAGAAATGTGTAGTAAATATACAGGAATAATCAGAAGCTGGAAAAGCAAATAATTCCTAACCCAAGTCACATATTAAATAAAAATTCCTACTATTCAACAACAATCAATGAAAAACCGAACATGAACCGCATTTTCTGACAAGATAACATTTTATATTGCTGAATGCACCAAAACTTCAGCTCAATATGGTAATTGAAGTAGTTCCATCTACTGACCACGTTAGCCTCAAGAAGAAATGCAGGGTTACATCAGATGATACACATGAAACACGCTGGCGAAGAAATGAATCCAATGGACTTGGCTATACTTTCCAGAAGCTGCACCCCTCATTGTTATTCATTCCTCTCCCTCCCAATTTCAGTGAAAAAATAACAAAAATTTGGAAAGAGCGCAAAGCTCTTGCAAACAGAAATCTGGAGTCCGGACAATGGCCAAGTTGTTAATGCTGATCTTCAATCCTCAATGCGATTAGTTCACTCTCTTGAAATTGACCTCTAGATTTTAAACTGCCAGGGAACAATCTCTGAAGACTCTCTGGCCATACCCTATATAAGAAATGCAATTATGCAAACCAATAGTTATGTACCAAAATTAACAACAGCAAGGCAAACCAGTTTTAAAAACATCACCATGGAACAAGACATGGTAGCAAAATATTGAATAGGTTGGGAATCACAGACCACCCCCCCCCCCCCCCCCCCCCCAACACTCACTCTCTCTTATTTTCAATCTACTTTCGCCCGGCCATGCATCTCTAATCAACCGAGTCCATTGATCAATAAATTTCAACCAACACCTCCAAGTATTGTTTAGCTAGACTGCTAGATCGTGTGACTTGAAGTTCAACAGATTTAGAGTATTAAAAGCATATAAATTTTACTCAAAGATCATTACACACAGAAGATGGTATGCATTGAGACTGTATACTTTGCCAGTGAAATAGAATATATTGAGACCTTTATAGGGTAGGCCATTACCTTGCTATAGTACCATCAAAGTGGGGTCCCATGAGAGAGAATTTGGAGAAAATCCTACCCAGTTTCTAAAAATAAATAAGAAAACCTTAGATTCTTGCCACTTACAGATCCAATCTTTCATATATTGCCCGCCGCACTGAAGAGTTCAGGCCATACGCAATTGAGTTGAAAAGACCCTAAAACAAAAGGAAAAAGTTAGTTAAGCAAATAGTTTGTGAAGTTAAAATAATGCAACTAGCCTGTTTGTGGGGAAAGCATTCCATCCATACTGATGATAAATGAAAAAAGTCTCTCTGAGTGACAAACTCCAATCTTTTGTTATATCTTGTCTCGAAGATAAATGAATTCTATAATCAGCAAGGGGTTTTCCAAACAATCCACAATCATGCATTAGAGGCACAGAAGTACAGTCCACAGCAACATCCCAAACCCAATCCACAATAGGAGCAAACTAAGTTTTCAATTTGCTGTTGAAATTACAATTGCATATTAGTAATTTACTAGTTTTTTTACCCGCAGCTTACAGAACACATAAAATTATTTCAGTTTGATGCCTCATGTGACATTGCACATCTATCAAAATATATCAAATCAAAGCTGAATAAAGAATTTTATAATGTTTAATCAAATTTTGTATTTGACTGATTATTCTTTATATTTTTCATAAATTTTCGATTAAAAAACCATTATTTATTTATCTCTATCTACATTCTTAACTAAAAAATTTATAATAATGTAAGAAAAAAAAGTCAAAATCAATGAATTTTCAGCTAAAACCTTACTTTGTAAATTGTTTTTTTTCCCCTAAACATCCTTTCGCCTTAAAATTTTCAATTTAAAAAAATCAGAAGAAAAAAAAAAAGGACCAAAGTGATCAAAATAAAACAAAAAAGAAGGACTAAAATGAAACAAAAACATTTACAGACTAAGAAAACAATGTTTAGAAAAGAAGGATTAAAGTGTAATGTGACAAAAACTTTCATAATACATGCCTTTAGAAAGTTTGAAAACTATAAAATTACCACAACAAACTGAAAGAAACAGTGCATATGAGTCTATATGAATAGCATAAATGAGTCCCAGTGAATAGTGCTTGGAACAGTGCCAATGAATAGTAAACCAAAATTTATTTATTTATTTATTTATTATTATTTTTTTTTTAACTAACTTGCCCCTAAAAGATAGTCTAGCCATGCCAAGTTCTTCATGTCATTTTTACAAGCGTTTAACTGATTGTGTACTCTGCAGACAGAAAGATGAACAATCCAAAAGCTAAAATGATAAATGTCATCCCATTCAGGAAGATGTCCTATAACCACTTGTTACTTGCCCAATAAAAAAAAAAGTAAAATAGATAAATGCATTTCATTATGTTCTCAATATATTCAAAATGAAGAAAAATTATTGCATAGCACATGATCCCCTAGTTTGCACATAAAGATTGCAGATGAGAAACTAAATAAGGAAAAGTGCATTGATAATTGGAATTACCATTAGTGCAGCTGTCCCAACATCAAGAACAGAGAGCCAAAAGATTTTGTGGCCTGGTTCTATAAAATCATGAAAGCTATTGATAGTGCCAAAAGCCCACGATCCTATTAAGATGAGTGGATAGTATCCCCACCGGTTCAATGCCTATGGATTGAAAGAGAAGGGGAATTAATTTTCTTTACCATGTATCCCTGTCAAAACTTTGGGGTAATTACGAAGACAAGGCAATAGAGAACACCGAAGGTAAGTAAGTAGCCAGAAAATGGAGCATTTAACTTTTTGATTTTATGAAACCTGGTCTTAACAGCAATTTAGCAGAAACACAAAACATCCCTGACAAGGAGATTCTGAAATAGGTCCATTCACAGAACATTAGATTTCTCCAACATATGAATTGGTCTACTGATTTTCCTCAAAGTAGAAAGGGTTGTTTCATAATTACACATGAAGCTAAGCAAATAACATGAATGGATTGAACTAGGTATTCAATTAATAAGAAAAGGGCAATATCTTCCAAGACCCAAGCTCCTGTTCTTATCTATATCTTTGCAGATGTGAAGATTCTGATTCAGTAAACTAGTTGATGGGAACCTACCTTCTTGTCTAATCTTGCATCAGATTGATATGCTTGGTCTGAAATTCCAACTGCCATCTGGAATTTCCAGTTATAGTGTAAGTGCTATCTCAACATGTAGACAATCCAGAAATAATAAGAAGAAGAAGAAGAAAAAGAGAATGGTAACTGGGCACATACTCGTGTTGCATTGTTTAGCATGCGTATGACTTGAAAGTAGGTAAATCCATTGTAAAGAATTGCACCCCAGAGCGGTGCATAAAATGTTATGAATTCAACAGCCTGCAGGAATAGAAAGAACCAGTTCAAGATTTTTACCAGAGAATAAGCGTGGGCACATAATTCTACAGACAGAACTGAAATTTCAAAGATTTCCTTTATCTTATCAAGAGTCCAAGACCAATTTAACATCCTCAATTACCTAAGGTTTGTACCATATTGCTCGCACTATATAGTTGATTTGAAAAGTTTGAAGTGTAGAAGGAGTGATAATGCATAGCAGTATGGATCCACATCTTGAAGAAAAGCATGAACTGTGAAGTCTCTTTATATCATGAAAAGCAACTACATGTGACTAAATTACAGTGAAAAAACAATAATAAAATGATTTCCCACAGCAAACTTAGATGGACTTACCTTTCTTGTCCTCCCTGTTTGTGTCAAGCACCATCCACCAAAATGCCTGTGGTCATTACCAATGGAGCGAATTACAGTCAGCACCAATGAAGTTCCTGTAAGAAGTCAAACTCAGAATTCAGTTTCCATTTGCAAACGAAATGCCCGATAGTAAGAAATACAATTTGTTACTTTGAAAAGCAAGCCAATTGCAGAAAGGACTTGTTTTAGAAGGCAACAGATGCAATAATCATAAGCTGTTCAGCGTAACAGAAGCAGTAGAAGAATCAAAATATTTAAAATACAATAAATAGCAAGAATTCATACCCCAAACATACAAGTGAAACATGGCCTCAAGATCTTCAACATCTGTCTTGTGTTTAACAACAGTGCGATGAAGTGTAAAAGCAATGGTAGTAGTCCAAAGAAAAGATGCTACACAGAAGAAATGTGTGCTATATCCTTGAGCATAACAGAAGAACCCTTTCGAGGGATCCCTGCACTTAACAACATATTAATGTTTTATTATTTTTTTATTAAAGCATAAAGAAAGCAACTTTAAAGGAAAGAAATCCTCAAGAAATCTTACCCAAAAACGCTGAAGAAACTGCAAAGCATATCCTGCAATCAACAAAAATCCCATGAATTTGTGAATATAATCTTTTACAATTCGGAGCAGTTGTATTAGACCAAGAGTGTAATTACGGAACATGATTACAATACATAAATATAAACATGAAAAATAGTAAAATTAGCTAAATTAGGGTAAGGTGACAAATAAAGATGATCATGATGTTGGTTTTCAAGACGAATTAGGTGCGTGTTAGATTCAAACAAGGGTAAACAGAACCACCACCACCACCAGGTTAGGAGCAGAAGCAGCAAGATTTAGTATTTTAGCACAAATTAATAATTAATCACACATAAACAAATAAGCAGAGTAGCAACAAGATCCACAACATTAACACATTAGTAATAATCAATCTAATCATAAACTGATAAGCAAAGTAGACAAATGGTGAGAGAGGAGGGGAGGCTACGGAAAGTGCGAGGAAGAAGACGAGCTTGAAGGAGAACTTGCGGAGTTCTTTGAACAGGACATAACAGATAACAATGAAGCTAGACCCTACGAGGGACAGACTTGACGCTCCTCCTTTCACTGCCATCAGTATCCAACGCTGGTGAGCCGTCAGACTCCCTACCACCGCCATGGTCACCGGGTTTTTGGGTGGGTTTTACGGTTTTTCTTTTCTAAACAAGTTCCTGCCCAGCCACCTTTCAATTTTTTGGTTGAGCAAGCAAGAAAGGAAGGAATCAAAGAAGCAAGTCTCAGTCAATGTTTTAAATTCCATATAGGAGCACTCTACTCAACTTGTCGCTTTGGCCGAGTGGTTAAGGCGCTTGCCTGCTAAGTAAGTGGGGTTTCCCCGCGTGAGTTCGAATCTCACAGGCGACGTTATTTATTTTATTATTATTACTTTGTTATCAATTTTATCGTCTTCTCACGTTCTCCACCAAGCTTAAGTACACCGTAACTTTATATATTTATGTTACGTTTGAAAATACTTTTTCATTCGATGTAGCTTTATACATTTTCATTACCTTTTCTTTCTCCACCATCACTGCTTACACCACAATCACCTTTATTATTATTTTTTAAATATCATTATAATTGATGAAATTATTTTTTAAATCATTATTTTTCTTCATCTGAAAAGCCAAATATTAAAAATTTTAAATTTTATTTTGATTTTTATATTTTTATTTAAAATCTTTCATTCTTAATAACCAAACAATACATTACACATTCAGTCCCTCCACATTTTCAAGCCATGACGCACAGAGGACTAAGCATCCATAATTTCAAAGAGCTGACAGATGCACCTCGCTACAAAAAGATCTGCTCCCGCAATTTTGCAACAAGCCCACCATTGGTTACTGCGTAAGCCAATAAACGGGAAGTGCCAAACTATAGGAACATACGAGTACTCTACAAACCACATACACAAACATGATCTTTTTTTCTTTTTTATTGTTATTATTAATATTGAGCACTTGTAGTGTACAGAACAACATTCATAGATAATATCATTAACATTACTATATTTGTTAACAACAGGAGTTGCAGAGTTTCAATTTAAATTACAATCTTAATTAGCACTGCTTGTCAACGGCAGACCCATTAATCTGTGCCTGGTGGTATGAATACGAATCATGAGCTATCGTCTGCGATTGCAAATGGAATATGGAGGGTAGTTCATTTATCAAAAATCAATTGTTAATCAGGAAACATGGTGAAGAATGCCATCATACCTGTTCTTGTGAACGGAAGTACATGAACGGGGTATAGTGAAGGAAATTTGAGACCCTGGAGGTATATATATCGGCATACCTGCAGTTAAAATTAAGCAGACATCTTCAGCGATGTTGAAAAGAGAGAAAAATTAACACAAACAAATGCAGCAAACATATGATAGACTTTGAAGTGAAAGTACGTACTTCTCAATTTGTCTCATTAAATGGCTTTTATCCCACAGATCTGCACGTGAAAGAAATCCCCACCTGTTGCAAAATGAGAATTCTTCATTTAAATATGCCTTAACAGGAATCAAAGATGCACAGTCGCACAGGAATAACTGACTCGGGTTATTTTTTCATGTGATGGGTACCTAGAAGACGGATGATGCTTCTTCATTGACAGCTTACCAACGATATCCACGCTAAGCATTGTTTATTGATGCAACCTAAATGATGATCATTTATGTGGGCAGATAAGTGGTCCTACAATATAACCATCCATGTGTCTTACCTTTTGTTGAAACGCTCTCCATCTGCTTCTAGCATTGGAGCAATTTTCTCATCCAGTCTTTGCATAACAATCAATAGCTTTTGCATGCTTTCTGTGAGTTCATGATCATCCATGTTAGTTGCAGCAAGGGTCTGAAAGTTCACAAAACGAAGCAAGATAAGCCATACAATCAGCAGTTCCTTTCAATTCGTTCAGTCAAGAAATCTTCACTCAAACGTAGAGTTGATGCATCTCCTGCTCCATAGTATTTCAAGATGACTATCTGATATGATCAGTCCAAACTAAAATTGCTTTTCAGAGCCACCAGCTACATTAGGGATTTAGGGTATTCTGCAGGTGCAGCCTAGTACACTAAATTGTTCGTGCGTGCGAGCTATTGACAAGTTCATTTGCACTGGATTGCAAAGAACTGAAGGTCAAGTGCTGATAACACCGTCCTAGGCATTCCAAATACAGGAACTATATTGAGCACCTATAGACAGAGACATGCTTAAAAAAGTAAAGAGACCAATAATTTAAACATGGAAACATGCTCACCTGAGCAGGACGCCCTGTATTTCGCCTTTGCAGAGCTAGCCGAAGTTGATTAAAAAGATCCCCTACCACCTCCTTTTGATTAATTAGCTCAATCAGTGTGCCCCGATGATCCCTACTATGAATCAGAGCACCATACTGCAGCTCCATAATTCAATACAACAAAAAGGAAACATTTATAAGTATTGGATCAATCAGGGATATCAGAAATACCAAAGATTTTTGGTTCTTAAGACAAAAACTATACAAGTAACATGATATATTACTTGAGGCTCAACTGCAGAAAAAGCTGATTTTACTGCTTTCAAAAATAAGTCAATCTATAATTTCTGTACAAGAAAATCTGAACTCCAACCTCTTCTTCCAGTTCTCGACAAATCAATGCTGTTCGCCATAGTTGATGGACTTTAGATTGACTCACATCGGTGTAAATATGATCACCCACATATAATATTTCATCCCCATGGATATCTAAGGAGTTTTCTACCATCTGAGCACTCCCACCTGAGTACAATCCACCTGTTGAAGAAAATAACAAAATTGTAAAATTCATAATTAAGGGCCATTGAACAGTGCAATAATACAAGTCTTGTTGGTGGTTCATGGCACAAGAACAATCAGTTCTTACAAAGATAATGAACAACAGGACAATTTCTAGACTTCCTGTCCAAAAAAAGATGTGTTTGCAGCAAAATTACGAAGATGTGTTTGTGCATGCCACAGCATCCAAACACGATTGCAGCATTTATGTTCATCCAACAAAAAATCTACCATATGTAATGCACTGGTGTAGTGATAAAACAAGCACATGAACAAAGCACAAACCACCTTTCCGAGCTTTGAAGCATGGACGCATTAAACCCTCGCCGGTCACCACCTCATACAATGGGTGTGACATTTGAAAGAATTCTGGCTTTCTTGCAGATATTATCACCTACACAAGTAGAGAATAAAAAAAAAAAAATCATAATTAACAAGTGACCCAAGGTTTCCTGAATGTCAAGAAGATCCATATCTTGCATAAAAAATCAAGAAAACTATCTAATGTTGTGAGTAAACAATTCGAGAAGGCTCAAAGCCAAGGGTTGCTATGATAAAAGGGAAAGGAAGGTGGTGAGAATCTTTCCATTTCTGGTCATGCCAATGATACTTATAATATGTTATCAGGAAGAAAGAAAGTCTGGCCAAGTTACTCTAAACTTTATGAAGCCTTCTGTTAAGGGACATAGAAGAGAGTAGTCGCTTGGCATGATGTATGGCTGACAAATAAGGTGTACTCACCATGTCAAACAGATCTCGCCAGCCCATATCATTTGGTAGGAATCTGTTAAACGAATGCGTCATCATTTTGTCTGTGTAATGATAATCGGAGTTCGTAATGAGTAGAAGCTTTTTACCAGCCTGTCACACGAAAATCTCCAAAATCAATATAAGATTATAATAATGATGTGCTTATTCAAAGAGCTTATTCAAAGATGATAAGTTCAAAGAAATACCTCCTTTTGGTCTAACAGTGCTAAAGGTAATTCTGGATCAGGCTCCACAAACAATTCAGGCTTTGACATTATCTCACTCTGCATAAATGCCATCAATCAGTACATTGTTTGTGGACCAAATTACAGAAAGGACTGTAAATAAAGTCCCATTAATATATTTACCTTAAGCTGACCCTCTACATGTGCCCGAAAAAGAGCCTTTCCAACAGCCTGAAAATCATGTCAAGTATCAAACAAAGATATACAAATACCTAATGACACTTTAGTTGCTGCAATTAATAATCCACAAAACATGCCTTGTAAAGTCCTCTATAGTCGGGTGGACATATGTCGGCTGATATAGCTCCTCCATCGTATCTGTCAACCATCTGGAAGTGGAATCAAATGGGGCTACCAAAGATTAACATGGTGTCGCTTACACAAGAGCAAACGAAACTTCGCATACAGTAAAAATCTAAAATTAGTATGGTTATGAATTAGATGGTTCATCAAAGAAAATGACAAAACAGTAACAGTGGTTGAACTAGCGGGACCCCCTTCGTAAAGAGAAACAGCATTTTGGCCTTCTTGACATAATGCTGTAGCTCTCGTAGTGATGACATGATAACTATACATAACCACAAAAGAACAAGGATTACCTGGACAATCTCATGGTTTATATAGTTTGCTAAAAAAATTAAAATTTGTTGAAGAAACCATAGAAGGGCACACTTTAACCTATGGTACTTGCTACAGTTAGGGACTAGTTTTATTGGGCATCAATTTGATGATGAAATTTATGGAATACAATAAGATTGCTGGTCAAACACCAGCCCTGTCACTCAGCTGGAAATTCATAATTCCATAAGGCTTTCCTTTAACACAACAGGATGTGTGCCACACCGAGTACATAATGTCTGTGCTTGAAAGAATTCTCACCTCTAACTTCGCTAGACTGATGCAGGACAGCATAGAGGCCGTTCTGGATCTGAGTTTGGAGACTGTTTAGGGGTGTTTATGGTTGTATTGAAATCGGTTTCTACTTGGAATTGTAGAACTATTAGAGTCACACTAATGGGGTTTCTAGGAGTCAAACCTAGGGGATAGGCAAACCTAAGCTTCACATCTACAGTTCTTAAGAGTCACCTAAGGGAGATTGAGTCACACAATCAAAAGCAAAGTGCTGGAAATTATTTGATACTATTGCATTCTGAATATTGAAAGACTACATGCTATATTTATAGAGTTGTAGAAGTCCAAATCCGATTAGGACACGGATTCCTAAACCTCTAACAAAAATATTCCTTTTTAGAATAGGAAAACCGATATCTATTCCTATTTTGGAATAGGAAAACCTAATAACTTCAGGACTAAGAAAATAAATTACTAAACAGAAATAAAGCCTAGACCTAGACAATTTCCAGATTTCCAGCAAACCTAGAAAAATACTAAAATACCCTTGCATTCTATAATTTAAATAAAACACATAAATCCTGGTCTTTCGTCATCTGCATCATAGAGAGTTTCAAAAGTTTGCAAAATTTCAAGAACTTTGTGAGGTCTAACTAATTCATCTTGGATGGCTAATTGCTTTGTCCTCTCCCCTCCCTTTGTTTCCTTTCCTCTGACACCAATGTTTAAGATATTAATCAAACATAAATCCAGAAGTTCAAAAATTTTATCATTCTCTGTATGGATTTCCAACTACTTTATTTAAAAGTTTGGCATTCTTTAAAATCTAGGTTGAAAATTACAAATTATCGTCACATGGCTTTGGGCACAATACTCAGTTAAGCTTACTTTAATTGTCAGTTTACATCCTAAATGAAAAATCGTGCCAACTAAATGATATGATTGTTTACTTAATCAAGAGAAAGTAAAAATAACTGAAATAGTTGCAGGCAGGGAGATTCATCAAAATAGAAAGAACAAATTATTTGCCACAAAAGAAAAGAATTATAATTTAGCAAATTTCTATGGATTGAAATAGCCAACCTGCATGTATGCCACAGCTTCTGAGACAGAGAACAGTGTGTTTAAGAACTCCCATCGATTTTCCTTCCGCAGATCAACCAGTTCCCTCCCATACATATCACTTCCATGCATAGAGAGTTAAGCACCACTAGGAAAATATTACTCCAGTTTTTCCACATATACCAAATCAAATATAAAATGTTGAAGGCGCTACATCAAAGGTCAACCAGACCGCAATGCAGACTATAATATGCACAATCAAATAGTGAGGTCCGATTACATATAGGGATAAACAGGGACTCGAAAAAGTTTATCTTGTCATCCTATACGTTGGCCGCTGATGTGTGAATAGAAGAGAACATTATTCTCTGTGTTGGTGAAGAATGGGAAGTTGAATCCATTATTGCAATATAACAGACACCTTAAATGCCTTCGAGAGGATTGTCAATAATCAAAATGAAAAGGTTTAAAGTTCAAAGCACACCTGACATCTTTAGTAGACAACATTCTGGTGCCATGCATTGCCCTTTTTACATAACCAAATCGATCTGCTTTAACTAGGTTGCCTTTCTCTTTGTCTATAACAAGACCTCTAATCACCAATTCCGGATCAAATGCAAGCCCATCAACTGGAAAACCAATGCTTCTCAAATTTCCCATGCAATAATCATAAGCCCGCCCTTCCCAGGCCTGCAATAGTATAAATACACATAAGTAGATCTCAAATGATCAAATGCATATAAAATTATGAGTCTAATTAAACGAGTAGAATTGATATACTTTTATTTTTTTATAAGACTTAGATTTCATTGATGAGTTAATCATGGATAGATGTTGAGAGAATACGAAGCGATGTTCACCTTCACATTGTAATGTATCAAAGTGTAGTCCATGTCATATCCAATGGCACTAATTGACCTAAGATTTAAAGTACGACTGCAAAATATACCACGGGATGAATTCCTTACTGAAGAGGGACTCTGAAAAGCAATAATTGATGTTAGAATAATGAACCTTAACAAGAAAAACTCGATAATTGGTAGACATCAAGAACAGGAATAGAGGGAGCATTGAAGTTTAGTCTCAAAAAGTGCAAAACACTGTACTTAATTAGATTAAGAAAGCACATGAAAATACATTCCAGTAATGCAGAAGGGTTAATACAAAATAATAATAACAATAATAATTAAAAAAAAAAAAAACCAAGAGACTAGCTCATATCCGATAATTAAGTGTGAAAAGCAAAAGTGAAGATTGAGCACAAAATATAAGAAAGTAAGGAAAGAAGGCTGACCGAAATGCCCAAGTCATTAAGTAAATCCTCAGCTTCTTCAGCCTCCTTCCTAGCAACCTTCTCAATTGGACCTTGTAAAGTTGCCGGACCATCAATTCCTAGATGGAATGAACAAGAAAGTGCAACACTTAAATAGTGAAAAAAAATCGCAATGCAGCAAAAACAATCCCTCGGCTGGCATTGACAAGTAATGTAAAGGGGGAAGAATTCTCAATTACCACTTCAAACACACGATCAGACATTGTCAGGAGAAAACAATTCCTACATGGGAAATTGCAACCGAAAAAACAAACACAAACAGAGAGAGAAGTGATGAGGGTTACCAAAAGCGTCAAGTTGGTCAAGGTTAAGATTCAAATCCCCTTTCGTGCTCTGTCCTAAATAATCAACCTGGTAATTAGTAGAGGGTGTGACAGAGAAGACTTGTTCCCCAACACTGCAACGGCACGCCATCATCATCTGAGCTGTTTTAGTGGTATTTACAAACATGGGTCTGACAAAAAGAGGAGACATAGCAATTGGAAGGCCACAACGGCTCTCTCTCTGCACCAAAAAGAATTTGGCCAAAACCTCCGCCGTCACAGACATAATAGACCAATAGTTGCTCCAATTGCTCTAACAATTCTTAATCCTAGTTGGGTCTCAATTATAGAAGTGCTGCTCTGCTCACAATCAAGTTTGGCAGGCAGGCAGGGTAGTAGGAGCTGTGCTGCAACAGGAAGCCTGGATTGTAGATAATGAGAGGTGGATGATCCATCGAGCTTTCCATATCTAATTTTATTATTTTGTCCAAATTCGTCGCATGGTAAAAAAATAAATAAAGAAAGAAAGAAAGAAAGAAAAAAGCTTCTTACTTTTCACTGCTGACAAATTTCGTGTCAGAACTCCGTTTGATTTGACTTTAGCATTCATCAATTTTATTTTTTAAAAATTCAAAATTTGGTGCTTTTATTTTAATTTTTTTATATAAACTTTTTAAAATTCATTTTTTTCACAAATGATTTCATTTTTTAATTTAAAAGAATATATTTTTATTTTTTAAAAATAAATATTTAATGTATTAAAAAAATAAAGAAGTTGTATGAAATTACATTTAATTTAAGCGTGTTTTCCAAAACTTTACATATGTGATTTCCAAAATTAATCTATTTTAATATTGATAATATTGAATAGATGTTATTCATTCGATCGTATAAATGTTTTGAAAATTATATTAAAACGAAACATATAGATTTATATGATTTTGTTTAGGCCTAGTAATGAAATTTGGGATAGTCCCAAATTATTTTCTATTTTTTTTTTCAATTTTGTCAATAGTTAATAATTAAGAAATATTTAAAAATGCTTTATGATATCAAAAATTATTTTGAAAATCAGATTGAATTTTTATTTGTATATGTTAATATTTTTAGCTCAAAATATCAAAAATTAAATTCTTTTTAAAGAATTTTTTTTTTTTTTGTCGATGATAATAGTTAAATCAATTAGAAGAATCTATTTATCTAAAATATAATAGTTCAAAGTCAAAATTGATCACATTGATAGCATTAATCGGTTGCTCGTGCTACGCTGCGGGTTTGATAGAATAAAATTATTTTAAAATTTTTAAATTTTATAATTAATTTTTTTCATAAATTTTTTGCTTAAAACAATAAATCATTCTTCCTTATGAATTGATTTTAAAACAAAAAATTATAATAATTTTAACTAAAATATTAATTAAGAATTAAAAAAACTTTTAAAACATATTTTCATAATATTTTATTTTAAAAAATAAAGTTATAATTAATGAATAGATTTTTATAAAAATTAACAAATGAAAAAAAATTCATATTTAATGCCGATAAGAAGATTAATTTTTGAAATTATCCGAGGAATGTTGCAAGCAAATAGACAAAGATTCTTAAATAAAAACTTGTAATAATTTAAATCTAAAATATTAATTAAGAATTAAAAAATAAATACTTTAAAATATATATTTTTATAAGAATGCATCCAAAAAATAAAGTTACAATTAATGTATAAACTTGCATAAAAATTAACTAATCAAAAAAAATATTTTATTCTTATTTAATGTTGGTGAGAAAATTAGTTTTTTAAAAGTATATGCATTTGATCTTTATATATTTATTTACAAAATAATAATCAATAAAATTAGCATAAAAATTGTATTTGAATAATTGGTTTGTTCATTTTAAAAATTATTTTAATTATTTTATTTCAAATAAATTGGTTCTATAATGTTAAAAAAAATATTCATAATAATAATTTTTATTATGTTGATAATGTATAGTTATTTTTTAACAAAAACAATGATTCGATATTTGTTTTATACGTCTTAGCTATACCTAGTGAACTGAGATAAATTATTTGAAATATATTTTTAAATTTTTAGAATAAAATAATTAAATATTTATATATATGCAACTATCATTTGAAAATTATAAGAATTCCTAATATATATTATACTAATTTATTTTTTGAAAAAGAAAAAACAATCATGTTTTAAAATTTTATTCTAAAATTAAAATATAGAGAAAAATAAATTATATTTATCAGTAAATAAAATTTTATGTAAAAAAAAATATTAATTGGATGAGAATTTTCATAAAAAATGATAAATTCAAAAAATAAAATTTAAATAATAAGAATAATACACACACACACGTTACGTGAAAATGAAAGAAAAATGAAAACCGAGTATTGAAAAAAAAAGTTACAACATGAGGGATGAAAATAAAAAAAGTGTTAAATTTACATATTAATGTCCAAAATAAAAATAAAAATAAAAAGCACACACAAAAATTACTTAAATTACCATCAAGTGAATAGTAATTTTATGTATATGAAGAGTAAGTGAATAGAAATTTTAGGCATATGAACAATTCGGATTCTGCGCTACACTCGCGGACCGAAACTAAATATATTTACTTCGGTTTGATAACATATATTATACTCGTCGATTAATTAAAATATATTAAATTAAATATAAAAGATAAAATTTTATCTAATTTTATAATTTTCAATCAAATATATATATATATATTGAATAAATTTTGAAGTAAAAAAAAATGATTTGTTCTTTCTTATGCATTTATTCTTAAATAAAAATCCATAATAACTAAATTTTAATATAAATTTAAAAGAAAAACCATCTTAATATTTTTTTCATAACATTACATCGAAGAAATAAAAAAATTAATAGAAAAACTTGTATAAAAAATAAAAAAATGAAGCTTTTTTACTAATGAGAAGATTATTTTTTTAAATATGTACATTTGAGTTATATATATTTATAAAAACTTATTCGAATCAATACATAGAGAAAATAAATCATATTTATTAATAAAAAATTATATAAAAATAAGAATAAAAATTAACTTGGTGTGAATTTTTATAATAAATTGAAAATATCAATTTTAAACAATAAGGGTAGTATATATTTATTCTAAAATCTAAAACCATATCGTATATATTATATAATCAGCGAGTTTATATGGAAACACCTAGTTAAATAAAAAAAGAACATAAATTAATTGAAAAAATCAAAGAAAAAAAGAACACGTGTAGGGCATCGGTTAGAGGGTTAATTTTTTTTAAAAAAAATTTAGGGACCAAAATGAAATAATTTAAAAATAACAAAAAAAATTGGTGAATAGTGATATGTAAGAGGATGAATAGTGAAAATTACTATTCAAACACTTCACCTCTTATAGTTATATGAGTTTTTTTACCCGTGCTATGCAATGGATTGGAAAAAAATATATAAAATTATTTTTTAAAAAATTATTTTATTTTAATATCCCATGTTATATTATGTATATACCAAAATATATCAAATCAAAACTGAATAAAAATTCATTCAATTTTTTCTTTTTTTTAATCAAAATTTTGTATTTCACTAATTATTCTTTATATTTTTGTAAATTTTTATTAAAAAAACATTATTTATTTATCTCAAAACTTATTTGTAAAATATTTTTTTTAAACATCTTTTTGCCTTAAAAATTTTAATTAAAAAATTAGAAGGGAAAAAAAAAGGATCAAAGTGATCAAAATAAAATAAAAAACTAGGACCAAAATCAAATAAAAATATTTACGAAATAAAAAAATAATATTTTAAAAAGAAAAACTAAAGTGTGATGTCGCAAAAATTTTCATAATAAATGTCTAATGTTTGAATCTAGATGACTAGTGTTTTAAATGGCACAATGAATAATCAACTTATGTTTTAGTTTAGCTTTTTTCTTTTTTTATACAAAAATGTTAATAGGGAATTAAAATTGATAGTTTGACTACTTAAGAAAGCAAAACATAATAAAGACATCATAACTAAAATAAAACATAGTTTTACTATTCATTTTACTATTTGAAATACTATTCACACACTCATAAATCACTATTTATATACTCACAAATCATTATTACTTTCACTATTCAAGTTATTTTTTAACACTTTGGTCCTCAAATTTTTAAATTTTTTTAAATTTTAAATTTTAATTGTATTGTGATTTAATCTCATTTTGTTTTAGTGTTTTTTGTTAATTATTTTTATTATTTAAAATTTACTACTTTAATTTGTCATTTTTTAAATTCTCTCTTTTTTTCAATTTCAAAATTTAATTTGTTAATTATTTTCATTATTTAAAATTTACTATTTTAATTTATCTTCTTTTTTTTTTAATTTCAAACTTTAATTATGTTGTGATTTAGTACCATTTTATTTTAGTGTTTTTGTTAATTATTTTTATTATTTAAAATTTATCATTTTTATTTTTTATTTTTTAAATTCTCATTCAATTAATTTAAAATTATATTTACTGATAGTTTTAATTTATTTTTCTACATGTATGAATTTTGTAATAAAATTTTAGAATATGATTATGCTTTCTTTTGAAAAATAGATTTAGATCATTTTTAAATTATAGTGGCATGATTAATAAATATAATTTTTCTAAAATACATTTTTAGATTAAAATTGTATTTCAAATAATTTTTTCTCAATTTTTTATATTATTTAAAATTTACTATATTAATTTGTCATTTTTTTTTCAATTTCAAACTTTGATTATATTATGATTTCATTCCCTTTTTTCAGTTTTTTTTTTGTTTCTTATTTTTGTTATTTTAAATGTACCAATTTAATTTTTCATTATTTTAAAAAATTATCATCTAATGAATTTAAAATTATATTTACCGACGATTTTGATTTATTTTTCTATATGTATAGACTTTCGAATACATTTTTAGAATATGATTTTTTTTTTTTTGAAAAATAGATTTAGATACTTTTTAAATTATAGTGGCATGATTAATATATATAATTTGTCTAAAATACATTTTTAGAGTAAAAGGGTTTTTCAAATAATTTTTTCTTGATTTTTTTATTATTTAAAATTTACTACATTAGTTTGTTTTGTTTTAATTCTCTCTCGTTTTTTTTTTCAATTTCAAACTTTGAATATATTGTTATTTCGTCCCATTTTGTTTTAGTATTTTTGTTAATTATTTTTATTTTTTAAAATTTACTAATTTAAGTTGTCATTTTTAAAAAAATTATCATCTAATTAATTTAAAATTATATTTACTTACGAGTTTTGATTTATTTTTCTATATGTATTGGTTTTTAAATAAAGTTTTAGAACATAATTAGTTTTTCTTTTGCAAAATATATTTAGATAGCTTTTAAATTATAGTTGCATGATTAATATATATAATTTATCTAAATTACATTTTTAGATTAA